GCTACAGGTCTTGAATAGTACTTATGAGGCTACACTCATATGTTTTTATTCTGTTGCTTTGATCTGTGTCCATCATGTCCCCAGTTCCATAGTATCCTAGTGACTGTCATTGAATAATGTCTTAAAACCTAGTAAATTGGTTGCTCACACTTTCTCTTCCTCAAAATTATTTTATTCTAGTTCCTTTGCATTTCCATATAAAGTTTAGAAAATCTTAACTTCATCTGCAAATGGCTTTGCTCAGACTTTGGTAGGAGTAGAATTAAGCAGTGTGTAAACTGGGACATAACAGAGTCTTTACTACGCTGAATTTTCTAATTGATAAAACAGTGTCTCTACATACTCAGATCTTCTCTGGTATTTCAGTGTCTTATAGTTCTCAATTTTAGAAAAGTTTAGTTTGATTTATTCATATGTGTTTCATAATTTGAAGTGATTTATAGTGATATTTTATTTGTACTGAAATGTGATTGGCATTGTATCTTAAATTTTCAATTATGCATATTAATTGCTGATATAGAAAAAGGTAACAGATCTTTATGTTCAACTTGTACCTCATGTCATCTACAAAAGATACAGATTTCCTTTTTATTTCTTTTTCTTATTTATGTCCATGGCTAGAAGGGTCAATACTGTGTTAAGCACAGTGGTTGGAGCAAGAGGGTTTGTCCCTAGTCATAGCAGAAAACCAGACAGTTTTTCAAGACCAGCCATGTTTGCCATAGGGTTTTGTAGATATCCTTCATCATGGTTAAGGACCACCCCTCTTTTCCTAGCTCATTAATAGTTTTCTTTTCAAACCTGAGTAGGTATTGTTTTTCGTTAGTTCTCCTCTATCGATATACTCATGTGATTTTTCTTTGACCTATTAAAATGTGTACCATTCTGATTTTTTAAATACTGACCTTCCCTTTGAGTACTGGATAGATCCCATTTAACTGTGGCATATGATTCTCAATACACTGTTAAATTACCTTAGCTAGTATTTAAAGGGTTTTTGCATGTATATCTACGATGGTTTGAATAAGAATGGTCCCATAGGCCCATCTATTTGACTGCTCAGTCACCAGGGAGTGGAAGTGTTTGAGAAGGATGAGCAGGTGTGGTGGCCTTGTTAAGGAGGTCCACACATTTACACACGTGTATATGTACCACGTATGCACACACCACACACAAATTAAAATATTCGTGGACTATAGCTTATATCTTCACTTTACTTTTTCTGTGTATCACTCCTCTGGTCTCTTCTGAAGGTCTCTGGGCCACCTGAATACTTTGCAAAGTTCGATTTTACATATATGTAGTATATTTGATTTTTAAAGGACAGCTCCAGGCATCACGTTGTATACATACATTTTGCCAGTCTTCTGGTCTCCTAGTATAGGCATTTCACCAAGTGACGTGAGGTGTAGAAACTTTGCCTCATTGAAATCCCTTCAGTCACCCTTGCTTCTGTTCTAAATGCCTGAAAGAATTCCTTCATGTACAATGAGAGCTCTATCAGTATAATAACTTTTGCTTCAGGATCAAACATAACTCAATATCTCTGGAGAAGGGCTCTCTGCTCTATTTGCCCAGATTTTTTTTTTTACAAATATCAGCAGAAAAGAAACATCATCAAGTCAGGAACTTAAAACATCCAGCTGAAACCAACTGAGGAAACTCCTTAAGGCAGCCAGCTGGAGCTCACCTTCAAGAGTCCTGGGCAGAGTATAGCACCCCCCCCCATCCCCTTGGGTGAGGCTTCCAAGTAAAGGAATAAATAGCAAAGAAAAGAGATGACATCATCAAACCCAGTGTTCCCAACATCCAGCAGAAACTGGAGTTGAAGCAGTTAACTGGATGGTTTTAAATTATATGTATACGTGTGTGGTGTGCATGTGTGAGCCCATAAGAGATTGCTGGGCCCTCTAGAGCTGAAGTTAAAGGCAGGTGTGAGAGCCACCCAGGCAACCAAATTTGGCCTCTGCAAGAGCAGTAAGTGTTCTTAAGGATCTCTCCAAGCCCACAGATGAAGTTTTTTTTCCCTTTAATTTCCATGTAATTCAAGATATATTTCATTAATTCATTGAGAATTTGATACAGTGTATTTTCCTCATATTCATCCCCCCCTTAGTTTAACTCCTCTCAGATCCTCCTCTCCCCCCCACCTCCAGACCCCTCCCAACTTCATCTTCTTCTTTTCTTTTAATAATCCAAAGAATCCCATTTGTGCTGCTCAGATACTCTCAGGTGTGGGTCCATCCACGGGAGTGTGATCAACCTGTCAGGGGCCACACCCTTGAAGGAAACGGACTCTCTCCCCCTTAGAAATCATCTGTTGTCCATAGGCCCTCAGCCAGAGGTGGGGCTCACAACCCCTTCCTGCTCTGTACCAGAGCGTTGACCGGCTTGATGCTGTGCAGGTCCTGTGCGGGCAACCACAGCTGTTGTGAGTCATGAGAGCAGTGGCCCTGTCCTGTACAGAAGATATGGTTTGGTTCTAGACCTCCCCAACCTCTACTCCCTCTCCTGTGATGGTCCATGGCCCTTGGAGGGTGATATACATGTCCCATCTGTAACTGAACATTCTTCTGACATGCTCTGTGCTCTGACTAGCTGTATTTCTGCATTAACCTCCAGCCACTACACAAAGAAACATATGATAAAATCTGGGGGGCTGCACTAATTGACGGGTAGAGAGATGTGAATTTAGAGGGCAGTGTGTGATTCTATGTCCATTTAGTGAAGTAACAATAGTAAGTGGCCAGAGAACGCCTCAGCCATGGGTTCTTGGCCATATTTGCAGTACCAAGCACATATTTCCTCCTGTACTGTGGATCTCAAGTCTAATCAGAAACCAGTTGGTTGCCCCCATAACATGTGTGCCCCCGTTGGACCCATGGGCATATTTTGTCACACTGGTCCTTGGGATAGGTCACAGGTAAGACTGCTGATGACTCTTCTCCCTTGCAGCCTGCGTAGTGCCTTCTAGCCAGCAGGAAGGGAGCCTCTGGTCAGTACCAACTTGACTTCTCCATGTATACTGTGACCAGTCTGTGTGGTATCTTCAGCAACAGGGTCTCAACATCAAGAGGGCAACAAAGAGCCATGGTGATAGCCTACATTGTTTGGAGGTCTCTGGACACCTCTAACAACTTGAGGGGAGGCAGCCCTTGTCTGATACATGGCTTTGTATTTGGCAGTCTATGGCTTCTTGGAGAAGTATAAACCCCTGTGTAGAGTAACTCCGATTACAGGGAGTTTTTGAGTGAGTTTTTCTTTTAATGGTTCATTTTTATGAACATGAGAATAAAATAGTTTCTTCTCCCAGTGGTCATGGGTTGATTTCAAAGAACAGATGGTGGAGATGTGAACACAAATTCCAACTATTCCTCTGTTGCGGACGGGTTCTCTTTTGAAGCTGTGATGCCTAAATGCCAGCCCCGAACTGAGCCGGTGAGAGGGGCTGGGAGGTGAGAACTGTGCCTGGAATGTGGTCGGCTTGAGCCAGAGCTCCGGGACGCAGAGATGACTCAGTTGAGAAAGTACTCTTGCCACAAACATGAGGACTTGAATTCAGTCCCCAGAACCCCCACACACAAAAGCTAGGCATGATGGCATGCATATGTAATCTCAACACCGGGGAAGTGGACTTGCTGGCCGGCCAGCCCAGATTAATCAGTGAGCTCCAGGTTCCAGTGATGGCCCTGTATCAGAAAACGAGGTGACCACTTCTAGGGAGTGACCCCTGAAGTTGACCTCTGACCTCCACATTCACATGCCCATGTGTGTCAGCACACACACACAAGTTATTTCTAATGGGCATGCCAAGTCCGTTAGGTACTTTAACAAGTATCTTTGATCAAATCAGAAGCCTTTCTTGTTTGAAATGGTCTTGCAAGTAGACATTAAAACAGTAACAAGATTTATTTTTGTGTCTAATCTTAATACTTTTCAAAATGACTGTGAATGAAGTATCTCATCATAACCTTTACTTTGAAAATAAGTCAAAACAACGCATTATATCTGAAAGATTCTGGGGGAAGAGCAGCATCCCCAGTTGACTGACCCTTGCTGCGATCTCTGACAACATGGTCTCTGTTCTCCAGAGCTACATTGCCCAGGAAAAATCTCCAGACAAGAAGTCCAGCTGTTCCTGTGATCAGGAAACTTCTTATACAGAGCCTACTCAGCGGCTGGTGTCTGCCACTGAAGTAGTGACATGGACCCTACCCTCCAACTCCACAGAGCAAGTCCCCAGAGAGGTCCCCTCACAGCTCACGAGGGCCCCTCGGCACTCACACTTCAGCTTGGATGACCTCTGGATAGAAAAGACGCAGAGGAGCAAGCTGGAGAAGCAGCTGCAGCTCAGGAGAAAGACGTGTACGGGGACAGCACACTCGGACCAAGTTCAGGTAAGCCGGCCACAGGCCGGGCGTCGTCTGACATGACCCGGGTGCCTGCCATTTCCTGACCCTGTCCCACACTGACACTTGTCACCCTTGGTCCCCTGAGTCACAGATGCTGACCAGTGTGAACCTGTGTGTTAGTTGGCTTCCCATTACTGTCATAAATGCTTGAGATAAGGAACTCAATAGATGAAGACACGAGGGTTGGGACTGGGGAGATAACTCAGTCAGGAAAGCACTTGAGGACCTGAGTTCAACTCCCAAAACTCACATTTAAAAACAAAAACAAAAATAAAAACAAAAAAAAACTAAAACAGGCTTGGTGACATGTTTGTAATCCAGCTGCATGGAAGCAGAGACAGGTGGATTCCTGGGAGCTCACTGACCACCAGGGAGCACAGCCACATTGGCCAGTGAGAGACCCAGTCACAAAAAACAAGATGGACAAATGTCTGGGCAATGACACTCTAGGTTGTCCTCTGGCCCCCTAGACACATGTACACACACACATGTACTCCTGCGCGCATGCACACACACACACACATACACACACACACCACATGCATTCACACAAACATGTACACATGCATACATGCCTACACACAAATATGCACACAGAAAAAAGGAAGTTTTATTTTGCCATTTCCGCAGAGGTCTCAGTCCCTGTTGCTTCCGGTTTGTGGTAGCTCAGTATATCACAGTGGGTGTGCGTGGCAGAGGAAACCCTGTGAACTCGTGGCAGCTGGGAAGAGGTAGAAAACAAGGTTGGGGCCCCGTATTCCCTTTTGTAGGTATCCCTCATGAAGCCTTCTGGCTTCTGACTATTAAAGGGTTCCACGCTCTCCAAGCTGAGGACCACCAAGCCTTTGAACACACAGGCACTTGAGGACATTCTAGACTGAGCTGTAGTGGTGGAAAAAGACGCTGCCCAGCAGGAGCTGCTCCAGAGTTCCCAAAACACAGCTCCTCGTTCCTCTCCGTGAGCTGTCCCCATCCAGTGCTCAGCATTTGATCCCATGCATACTCACACACAACTGACAGCCTGTTAAAAATGACGTCACGTGGGCCAGCAAGAAGGCTCAGCAGGTGAGAGCTCTTGCCACCCAGCCTGATGATGGCCTGAGCTCACTTCCTAGGGCCTACATTATACAAGGAAGAACTGCTTCCTGCCAGTCCTCATAGCTCCCCACACAGGACAAATAAATCAAATGCAACAATTTTTTTTTTTTTTAAAAAAGGGACTTCACAGTCTTTACAACATACCTTCTCGATTTTCAATACTGCTGATTTTTTTCTTTCCCTTGATAAAACAATAAGATTGTTGTCATGTATCTGTGAAGTACACATCCCTGAAGTCTGGCTTAGTCCACTCACAGTGTTTTGCAAGTATTTCTCTGTCTAAACCCAAGGCTTATCGTTTGCTTTTTAAAAGAATTGGTTTCTGAATTAACACACAAAGCAATAGGTTCCATCGTGCCATTCTCAAGCACACTTTGTTTCCGGTGACCCCTTCTCCACTCTCCCGAACCTCCCTCCCCACTGCCGTGCCCTTTTGCCTTAGAATTCCCACTTCCATTTTCTTTTCTTTTCTTTCTTTCTTTTTTTTTTTTCTTTGTTTTGTTTTGGTTTTTTGAGACAGGGTTTCTCTGTGTAGCCCTGGCTGTCCTGGAACTTACTCTGTAGACCACGCTGGCCTTGAACTCACAGAGATCAGCCTGCCTCTGCCTCCAGAGTGCTGGGATTAAAGGAGTGAGCCACCACTGCCCAGCTTTCCCCTTTCCCTTTTCACATCCTGCCTGCTCCGCTACCCTCCATCCTCCTTCCCTTAACCTCCACTTCCCCCTCTCATGGCCCTTTCTAGTTTTCCCAGCCTCTGCCCATACTCACTTCCATAACAAACACATACATAAATTAACAGCTAAGGTCCACAGATGAGAGAAACATACAGGATTGTCTGTCTGAGGTACCTCACTATGTTTCTGGATCCATCCGTTTTCCCAAAAATACAGTATCTTTTTCCAAGATATTTTCATTATCATAAAGGAAACCCCATACTTATTGAGCAGTCAGTGCCACTGTCCTTCCCTGGGCCCTGGGAGGCACGAATCTACTTCACATTTCTATGGATCTGTCCATCCTGGCATTTCATAGAAATGGAATTGTATGATATGTGAATGTCTGGCGTCTTTCATTAATGCAATGATTTCAAGGTGTTTCCAAGTCTTAGTGCCTATCAGGATTTCATTCCTTTCTATGCTGACTATTTTATTATGTGTAGACGTTTGCTTATTCATTCATTGATAGACATTTGGACTGGTTCCAATTTTTGGCTACTATTAAAATTATTTCCAGGAACGGTATACAAGCTCTTGTTTGAATACACGTTTTTCTGTTCTTAGCAGTAGAATTCCTGGGCCGGATAGGAATTCTGTGATTACCTTTCAGGTAGACTGCCCGATTGACAGACACTTTGGCCACACTGTTACCTTCCCACTCTCTCTAGCGGCTGCATGGTCTCAGGTTCTCCTCACTGCAACTTGTTTTCTGTTTTGTTTTGTTGCCGAAAGATAACAGGTGCTGGCGAGAATGTGAAGGAAATGGGATACTTCCACACTGTTGGTAAAAATTCGTACTAGGCAGCCAACATGAAACAATGGATGGAAGTTCCTCAAAAAAAAAAACAAAAACAAAAACAAAAAAAAAACTACAAATAGAACTATGTCAAACCCTGAGTCAAACCCCCACTTCTTAGTATTCACCTGAAGACTTGAAATCAGATTGTTCAGCTGACATTTGCAGACCACTGTTCACTGCAGCAGTAGTCACAGTAGACAAATCAGAAATTCAATGTCCATCAACACATGAACAGATACAGAAAAGGTGGCCCATTCACACGATGGAATATTGTTCCTCTGAAAAGGAAGCGGCTTATGTCAGTCGCATCAAGGATTGCACTGGAGAACCATATGAGATGTGAAGTCAGTCCAATACTAAAGACAAATACCACGTGTTCTCACGAATACGTCTATGCCAAGGCAGCTGAAATCATAGAGGCCCAAAACAGAATGATGGTTACCAGTGAGGAAGGGGCTGGGGGGACTGGAGAGGGGGTAATCCAAGGGACACATCCTGTTATATAGGAAGAATAAATTTGATTTTTATATCTCCTGTTCAGCACAGTGAATAATTGGGTGTCATATGTTGCTTTAAATTTTTTACATATATTTCTTTAGGGCATGCAGGCATGTGCCAAGCTGTGTATGTGGAGGTCCAAAGACGACTTGCAGGAGTCAGCTCTCACTGGTCTGGCAGCAGGTGCCTTCACCTTGCCAGCCCCCGGTGCCAGAAAGTCTAGTGTCACTAAAAAAAATAAACCTCAACATTCTTCCCATAAAAATGTCAAATATTCCAGGTGATAGATGGGCCAATTAGCTGAATTTAATCATCTTACATTCTGTTCAAAACCTAACATCAGCCTGGGCATGGCGCCTCATACCTGCAATCCAGCGCTCAGAAGGCTAAGCAGGGGTATCAGATGTCTGAGGCCAGGCTGAGCTGATAGTGAGACCCTGTCAGGAAACACAGGCCTGGGGAAGAAGCTGGGTGGTGGAGTGTTCACCTTGCATGTGCAA